AAACATGTTGCAAATCATTTCGGCGTTACAACTAATAATAAGCCATTCACAAAGTGCGATGTACTTTGTATAACCTCTGAATTCAGGACATTTCGGACACAACAAGTTCTGTTCTAATAGAGTCTCGGTGCTGCCATTTAGTGTGGCAGAAACTAAATGTCTAAATTAACATGGCCAATGGTATCTCACCCATTGTGGTGGTCCTGAAAGAGTGAATACCACTTCTGGAGAACGCACTAGGTCTGCTCATCGGGAAGATTGATTGTGCAGCTCATAGGAAACAAAAAAAAGCTCTGTTTCATTTTTTCTTCCTTTAATTTTTCTCTAAGTACTTTGTAACACACTTGGGTGTTTTTTAGCATATTGACGCAAATACGACATTGACTGTTATTCGAAAAATTTTAGGAAATCCAAGAATATGACTTATCTAACATACCCTAGCTGATTCTTTAAAAAAAATTAGCTTTGAAGCAATTTGCTTGGTTTATACAGAATGATTAAAACTAATTTAAAAATTCAAAGTTTTCCGCTTTTCCAATTTGGAAAAAAATACAATTATTTTCAACTTTATGATATTTTTGACAAGGATGACGCCTCGAAGAAATTTCTGATAATACTACTATTTTGTACAACCTTTCAATTTCAATTAATGTTCAATTCAATTTCTTTTTGGTTGATGGATGAAACCTTTATTTCTTTGTTATGAAAATATTAAAATACTTCAATTATTTGAATTTTATGCCTATTTTGCAATAAATTCCAAATTTTTCAAAATTCGATATTTGTCCTAGACAAGCTTTTTTGCTATTGAGTATTTAGCTTGGTTACTTAAGTACTTTTTTAGGCCTAATGATATATTTTAATCAACAAACTTCAAAAATATTTTCTTTAAAATTTAAATTTTAAATCTGGTTTTTTTTTCATAAGTTAAACTTCACTTCGGAGATTCGCATTTCCCTTAAATAATTTAAAATAAAAATACAGCTGTTAAAATCATTTAATTATTTTTTAAAAAAATGATCAAAATTTATTGAGGCCTATGATCAAAATTTATAAAGAGCCTATGTTACAAGCACTATAACCTCAGAAAACAGAACAAAAACATGAAATAATATTTTTCTTTTTGTTTTACTTATTTTAAAAAAAAGGTTCCAGAAAATATACTTTACAAATGCTTTCGCGTTTCTAAATTACAAAATTTTTATTGTAAAATAGTCAAAATCATTTGTCTCAATTCAACTAAATGACAACATCTAACTTAAGAATAAAACATGAACAAATATCCTTCTTTTTTCATTATTTCAAAAAACGTTATTCTTATTTTCAGGAAAATTATAATTCACTAATAATTCTGCGTTCCTAAATTACAAATATTCAATAAAAGAAATCCTTAATTCATTTTTCTCAATTTAAAGCAAAGCTTCTGTGGGAGCAATGTTCCGATAAGACCTTTTCTTCTAATGAAGTCTACTTTTTCTCCATGTCCAGTAGAAACTTCGAAATTCTTGATGATTTCAGTAAAGTAAGAGAGTAATTCCATCCAAGCAATTATTCACCAGGGCAATTTCTTCTTCCTATATACATCAAAAATTCATATTACGTTTTATTAGTTATGCATACGTATAAAAAAAATCAGGCCAAAACAAGATGCGGAAACCGCTTTCTGGTGTCGTTTAAAGGGAATTGTACTTGATACACCAGGACAATGAAAAACATCGGTCTACGCCATTATATTTTTACCATATTTTCAAACATGTTACTCATTTACACATTTGCAACCAAAATTATAAGAGATGCTCAAAGATTTTGCCTGATTTACAGTGTTAAAATGTGTTTGAGACATATTTGGTATTAGATGAATAGTCCCTATAATCTAAGGCGTAGAAATGTACTTGTTAATGTAAGAACTTCATTTACTTCAAGAATTTGTAACGGTGGTAAAAGTTGACATGTTTCGAGGGCTCAAAAATGAGCACCATTCTTAAAACTCGCTAGAAGATTAATTGAGATTTTGAAGCATAAATCGTAATATTGCCAATAAAAATGGAATATAAATAACGGTGCCGCAATGGCTGAGAAAGGCTAATCAAGGCAAAATGCATTACCGCGTGCTAGGGAGGTGTAGGGAAGAACTTATGTTGCTTACAAGGAAATCGGTATACATATGACTGAAACAAAATTCCCGGGCATCAAAATGAGCTGATGTCATCGAGGTGGAAAGAGTTTTGACTTTATGAAATATAAATTTATGCCCCAAGATTCCAACAATGAGCGGCATTAGATAATTTAATGAATTCTTGATTGCGGGCGTATTTATCGCGCTCCATTGAACTATTTATTAAAACGCGCATGTTTAGCCCGAAGAAATATTAATGAAATTTATATTAGCAAATACATCTGGTATATTTGAGATGTTTTGCCATTCCTTGCAAAGTGATGTAATATGTATCATAACTTTGAACATATTTGTAGAAATATTGCTCGGAAATGTCCAACTCCGATGAGTGTTACGCTCGATTATAGTGAATACACTGTGGTGTAATATCTCTCCTAATGTTGGACAATCCAATAAATAATATGACGGAATACTTCACTTCAAGTTAACACCAAAACATACACTGAAGAGTAATTACATTATGACCACCCTCCATCTATAACAATGGAATCGCCCAGGTTCTCATGGTTTCTCGTCCAGGAACAATGTTTTCATGGGGCACATTAGGACCCATAATCCTCATAGAACAATCCCTGACGTCTGTAAGCTACTTCAACATAGTTGCAGACCAGGTTCACCCACTCATGGCAACAGTTTTTTCTGTGGGGGATGGTGTTTACCAGCAGGATAATGCGCCATGTCATAAGGGTCGAATCGTCGAGGAACATTCCAGTGACTTTCAAGTCATGTCTTGGTCCCCCAAATTCTAATTACCTTAATCCAATAGAGCATTTGTAGTCCTACTTGGAAAACCAAATTCGTGCTGCTGAACCAGTTGGTGAGCGCTTGGTACCAGATACCTCAGACTACCTATCAGCATCTTGTGGAATCAATGCCAGTGCGGGGGCTAACAGTTTTGAGGTCTAAAGGCGGTCCTACATGTTATTAGCAGGGTGGTCATAATGTAATGGCTCTTCGGTGTATGTTCATATACACTTTAATGTATTCATATGTATTTAAATCTAAACACTCATAATAAAGATTATGCTTACAACAAACTCACCCACATTCACTCGCTGTTAAAATTGCCGTGAGATATCTCTCCAAATTTGATGATGAAAAACTCAAAAAAATTTCCGAATAAATACTTTATTTCAAATTGACACCGTGTGTAGCGTTCATAAACACTTAAATTGAAATCTAAATACCATTGTTGCGGAATTCTTACTCCAAGTTCACGCGCATAACACCATTCAAATGTTTTGACCTCAGATGCAATGTTTGGAAATCGGCACAAAACAACGATAGATTTTTGTATAATAGCTGCTAGCTCAAGATAGTGTGATTTTTTTATCCCCCCCCCCTTCCGTACGTTGTTAATTATTCTACAAAAACAAAAACTCACTGCTACAATTATGTTTTCAGAAGATAATTTACATGTATCCTTCAGAATTATATTGATTTTATGTAATTTAAATTTCCTCAACGTTAGTTCAATATTCTGAAGCCTAATTTATTTTTATCATCTCGCTGTGATGGGAGTATGGTGGCCAAATAAATTTTATTTCAAGTATCGTTTGAGTGCATGCATTCTAAATTAATAGTTCTTGTTGTAAATTTTTTTCGGAAAAATAACTTGACTGATTTTTACATGAATTATATCTTATTTCCATGGATTACATCTGGTTATGTCTGGATTATACCTTACTTCCCTTATATCTTATTTTTGGTACAATAATAAAGCAAAATAACGGTGGCAACTACTTCACACCAAATGATCTGTACTGGAACATTTGTAATGTTCATTATGCCAAGGACTACGCTTCGTATTTCATTGTACCGTTCTTGGATACGTATCTTTGAATTGAGTATGAGATGACATGAATTTGTTGTCTTTACGCTGCTTAAATACCTACCAGTACCAATCATCAATACACAATGTTTGTCTGTTTTTATTTGTGTAATAAGGATACTTATGTTTGAATTTTTAAGTATACTCCAATTGTATTAAATAATTCGCTTCTGCTCCATTAAGCCTAATTCGAATTCATGTTTAATACTTTCTCTATGCAATGTGCATTGCTTAATTTACGAACTGATTTTATTTTTAAAAAAATAATGTTTTAAATTGTATTGCAAAAATAATAATATAACTGACCCTTTTACGTATCAAATCTTACTGTAATAATAAATTTTAGTGTAACTGAACACCAAAAATAATGGCCCCTACATTACACAAAAGTACTGTAATAGAATGTGAGCATTCTTGGTGCTTCACTATTGTCCTTGGTGTCTAGTTACACCAATCTGGTGTTTCGCCGCATCACTTTTGGTGCTACATTTTTGCGAAGGAACACTAAAGTTTTTAATAGTGTATAATATAATTGTTGAATGGCTAATTCGCTTGAATTATATCAACCTATATTCAAAACGAATATAATTTAAATCAGTCTAGTATTGCAGTTCATAGTCGGCAAAATTCTCACTTATCTGAATACTAGTGTACTTATAAATTGACCTATTGGTAGCGTAATGTCGATAAAAAAATTATTAATTATGTCAGAAAGTCAAAATTTAGAGTAGAATTTGAAATTTCAAGGCAAGTGAAGCTTAAAAAAGTTGCGTATGTGATGATAGTCTCGTTCTGAATTGAAAGTCTTATTAAAGTCTTAGTCTAAAGTTTTCAGTGGGAATTTTCATGTTCATTTTCTGGGACCTAAAACCAAATTTTTATTGGATCAAGCTTTGTTAAAAATGCCGAAAAACGAAATTCACAAGTATATTTCTTCAAATTTTTTCGATAAACCTAATTTAAGGAAAATGAAATATTTTAATTGCAATATTTTTACTTGCCAATTGAAAACGGAGCAAAACTTGATGGATTTTTTTCCAATTTTGTGCCATTATTAGATAAAAACCTTTCCGGTATGAACTTGTGTGGTTCTTCCCAATAGTTTGGATCGTGATGAATGGTCCAAATATTACTTGTAATATACGATCCTTTAGGAATGGTATATCCTTTAATGTGTATATCTTCACTAGCCCTAATAGATTATATAAATAAAAGACAAAATTAGTTCAATATAGACAATTTTGAAGCATGTTAAATTATACTAACGTACAAATTCACTACAATTGTTATACGGTGCCCTATTGGATACCTTCAAGTGAGAGTAATAGTAAGTAAATCATGACAGTTGTCGATTCAGAAGCCAATCAGGTTCGACACACACACGTGACGTCGCCTCCAATTAAATCTTATTTATATCACATGGTTAGGCATAATCACGTCACTTCTTCTCGAGTTGCAAGTACCCAATTGAGAAACACAATCGTGTATCGTGTAATATAGACCACCTAGGGCTCATATCAAACAGAAACATCCCCCAATTTAACATCTCATTAAAGTTTTAGCAAATTTAACCAAGGTTACAGTACAAGGTTAATATGTGTTCAACCGTGATATTATGGTTAAACAGTTAACTTATTATTTTGAGATTTGCCAAAACATCTCCTTGAAGTCTTAGCCAATTTAAACTATCATATGGCGCAAATGTTATTATGGGTAATTCGACCTTGACATTGTGATAAATCAGTGATCGATTTTTTCAAAAGTGCTCGTTGGACCACAGATTTTATAGGCTCGTGATGTACAAGCGTTTTGGGAGTTACCCATTGATTGAAGTCAGATAAGAGTAAAGAGAACCAAGCATCATCCAATCTGTTCTGCTAAGTGCATATTAGATTTAATGTGGTAGGATGCACCCTAGCGGCGTATCATGACGTTTCTGATCTTGGGTCAATCCGCATTTTTGAGTTCATATGAAGTACCACGAGTCTCTATGAATTACCGGATTGTTGATACGGAACAACCAAACCGGTAGGCGTGATGCCCACAAAATTCACTCACTCACTCACCACGAGGTAAAGCTGAGGTCTTACGTTTAACATCAATCTCAGCACTCTTAAGTATTACTTGATTAAGTCATTATTTTAAGATTGCCGAATCTTTTTAATTAAGAAATAACCGATTTCAGGACAATTCCAAATATGTACATTGTTAAAAGAAATAAAAGAGCATTTTTGTTTATAAGAAATAAATTATGACTACTTCATACATTTTTATCGTTTTCTACAAGAATCAAGGGGTGAGCAAGCTAATCTACATGAGAAGCTAATTTACGTGACAAAATACAAACTTGGGGAAAAATTGGTAGAATATTATAGTTCCTGGGAAATCAAATTTAAAAAATACGACTTTTTTTTAAATTTGATTTCTCAGGAACTAGTCGTTAAATCAAATAAATAATGAGATTATTATATTAAAAGTTATTCAGGATGTTCCGTGTCTTTTGCGCACTGTACCATACTGCCATAAATGTTTATTAGTACATTTTTGAAAAGACGCCGTTTTTCTTTTCCGATATTTTTCGTACCATCAAGTAAGCCATTCTAAAGTAAAGAAAAAATTGAATCCAAACAAAATAAATTTTAAAAAAAACATCAATTTCAGTAAATAGCTTACTTTCTACTCGCGAAAATTGTGACAAAATCAGAATATCGCTGTGTTTCCATCAATACAGCGAATGTATAAGGAATCAAATCTCTCTCTTCATATTTTGCTTTTCCATCCATTCCAAGAACACTCTTTATTTCGGCGTACACTTTGTCTTGCACATCTTTACGATCCGCCATCAATCTCAACAGCCAAATCAGAGACCCAAATATTGTGTCACTTCCTCCAAGAAATAACAAAACAGCATTTCCCACTAACATTTTTTCTACAGAAAATACGATTTTCAGTTTTTATTGTTACTAGGTGAGAAATAAAATGAATTAAATAAAATAAAAGTTTAAAAAATAAAAATAAAATAACGTTTTAGCATTATGTAATGAAAGAATAACTTTTGTACCAAAAATAGTCATGGATTTTCAAAGCCGATAAAAGAAAAATCGGAAGAGATAAAAATGCACGGTTTGCTGATTTTGCTTAGGAAACCAACTTTTATTCCCAGCAAATTTCTAAGCTGATTGCAAAGTTCATCAAGAACTAATATCTGACTTATAAAACTATAAATTAATGTTTTCCGCTGATTGCAAAGTTCATCAACAGATATTTTCTGACTTATAAAGCTAAGAAATAATGTTTTCCGCTGATTGCAAAGTTCATCAACAAATAATTTCGGACTTCTAAAACTATGAAATAATGTTTTCCGCTGATTGCAAAGTTCATCAACAGATAATTTCGGACTTATAAAACTATAAAATAATGTTTTCCGCTGATTGCAAAGTTCATCAACAGACAATTTCGGACTTATAAGACTATGAAATAATGTTTTTCGCTGATTGCAAAGTTCATCAACAGATAATTTCTGACTTATAAAACTATAAAATAATGTTTTCCGCCAAATGTCAGAACACTGTAACCGAAAAATTTGCACGGACGTCTATTATCCTCAGACTGTGGCATGATAATGTTGTATAACGTGAGTTTTCTTTTTTTTTTAATGTTTTTTCATTAGTTAGCAGCACCACCTATTAAGAGAACGCCATACCTCGAGAGAAACTTTTCATCACAAATTCTCTTTCCCCTCCATTACTAATTCTAAAATTTAGAAGAAAGAAAAAGTGTGCTTATGCAAGCCTAGAGTAAGTCCTGAAGTTCCAATTTCTTGAAGAAAAAAAATTTCAAAATATCAAAATGCAAAAAGCTGACCTCTCATAGTTTGCTTTTATTTTGAGATTTTAAAAATTTCTTTTCATTATTTGAAACTTTGGGGCTTACTCTGGGTTTGTCTAGGCGTCCTCTTAACTGAAACTTGGCGAGAATAAGTTAACTGGCTGCCTTAGGAGAACGCAGCAGAGTGTGCATTCCCGTCTCCTACCGTTTTCCTTAATTGAAATTTTTTATTTAGCTTTCATTTTTGATACACCTGCGAAAAGATAAATTTGATATTACCTGAAAAGTATTTTTCTTCTGCGGCTGCTCCTAATTTATTTAATTGATTCAAATAAATACTGAGAAAATCATGCGAAGCTTGGAGATTTGATGAATTTTTATGATTTTCAACTTCATTTCTGTAAAAAAAATTGTATAATTTTCTTTATAAAAAAATATGCAGGGAGTGAAAATTAGAAAGAAAAAAAATATCCTGACGCATAAAAAATTAGGAAAAAGTGAAGAAGCATTTTATCATTTTTGTGTGTTTTTTCACAATTCACAAAGTTTATTCACATATTATAAATCACAGTTTAATTCTTTTGTTTAAAATTAATATGTTTTTGATTCATTTAATTTTAAAAAAAATACTGTCAATTAGTGGTACTTAAACCACATTTTAATTTAAGACATTTGCTAATTCAGTGGTATGTACTTTAGAAATTAATTAAATGCTTTAAAATTCAGGTCTACAGTTTCAGCCTATGTTTACATGTATATAATTTTTCTAAGCGATGCATGTTAGAGACTTAAACATAAAAACAACATAAGTTACCTCTCAATATATGGTAACAAAAAAATTCACTTTTCTGGTCATACTAGGTGGTGAAGGTGTAACAAAAATTTAGAATTAATATGTAGTGCGCAAAAAAGAAACGGACTGCCCTGAATAATTTTTGATCTAATGATCGGATCTTCACGTTTTAGAACTCAAAGTTAATGGTTCGAGGGAGAACCTCAAATATTCTAATTAATTAGTGCAGACTATACGAAATCAGACACGAGTTAACAAGTTAGGTAACGAAATCAGACACGCGAACTCACTTCTCTGAATGAACATATCTTCTCTGACCCCCAAACTACAGAGGGTACCCGCAATCATGGAAATGTGGTTCCAATAGTTTGGTCAATATTTGATCATAATAGTATTATTGTAGAATAATAGGTTGGAGAAAATATTCATTCGGGTAATTATATTAAAGTATTTTTCATCGATCATTATTGTATGAATAATAAATTAGAGAAAATGCTTTTCCAGGTAATTATAAAGTAATTAATATCATCTGAATAATAGGTTGGAGAAAATGTTCATTCGGGTAATCATATTAAAGTATTTTTATCGATTATTATTGTATGAATAATAGATTAGAGAAAGTGCTTATCCAGATAACTATAAAGTAATTAATATCATCTCTTATAGGTTGGAGAAAATGTTCATTCGGGTAATTATATTAAAGTATTTTTATCGATTATTATTGTATGAATAATAGATAAAATGCTTATCCAGATAACTATAAAGTAATTAATATCATCTGAATAATAAGGTGGAGAAAAGGGTCATTCGGGTAATTATATTAAGGTATTTTTCATCGATTATTATTGTGTGAATAATAGGTTCGAAAAAATGCTTATTCGGATAACTATAAAGTAATTAATATCATCTGAATAATAGGGTGGAGAAAATGTTCATTCGGGTAATTATATTAAAGTATTTTTCATCGATTATTATTGTGTGAGTAATAGGTTAGAGAAAATGCTTATTCGGATAACTATAAAGTAATTAATATCATCTGTATAATAGAATGGAGAAAATGTTTCTTCGATCATCCAAATATAGGATGTAGGAAAAACTTTCATAGTCCTGAAGATCCTTCATCTGTAGCCTGATGCATATCAAATTACATTGCAGCTTTATGACTAATTAATAATTAAAAAATATTAATTAAAAAAAGCTTCATAAACATGTTCTGTAAATAACCCACATGCAGACGGATATTAATTTAAATACTATTTTCATGCTTAAACTACTAGGCCATTGAATAAAAAAGAAGAATTCCGAAACATATAAAAAAAAAACTTAACCAAATAAAGAGCATAGTTATTTTGTTCTTAAATATTGTTAACTTACTGAAAAAAAGCAGCGAAATCTCTGGTAATTTGAGCAGCTTTTCTAAAGCCTGCAATTCCAAAGAACTGGTATAGTTTCGAGAGACCGGGCACATTGACTACTGCCATTGTTGTTCCAGTAACTCCTGCAATCATCCGGTTAAAATCCATTGAAAGCTGAATGATATCTGCTTCTTTTACCTTGTCCAGTTTCCGTCCAATTAAAAAGGCAATAATGTTCGAAGATATTGATATGTGTAAAGACTGAGAAATATCCGATGGCTCTCCTTCGAGCGTCTTCAAATAGTGTATAAAATCAGCTACTTCATCCTGTTGAAAAATAACATTCCATCTTTTAGCGTTTGCTTTTGTAGTTGTTCTTTTTTCTTTTCGTTTTTTTTTTTCAAAATATACTACGCCTCTTTATGTAAATGTGCATAAAAAAAACTGACTATAAAAATTCTGAAACATTTGTGGTATAGAAATATGTCAAGTTTAAGAACCAATCACTGGTTTTCTTGGTACTCTGTATTTTTTAAAAAAAAGACCTCAATATTTCTGAAAAGCTGTATTTCGGTTGTAATAAAAGGTAGAAATTAGTTAATGTTGACAACCTTCCTGTGAATGTCGTATCACAAGCTATAAACACAGGAAAAAAGATTTTTTTTTTAGTTCTCCTCAGACTATTGTATTGATATACAGTGATCTCTCACTTATGCGCCAACTCTTTTATACACCTTTTTCATTTATGCAACGATTTTTATAGGTCCCAGTGCATTAGGTAGGAAAATAATGATAATCATTCATCATTCTTCGCTCATGCGTCGTTCTAACCATAAATTTTTCAATTATGATCCGAAATTTTAGACTAAAATTTTAAATTTTTTTTTTGCTCTAAATATTTGTTTCTTTTTGAAATAAGGTTTTAAAAAATTGAAGCAAATAAGCTATCCTTGTTACAGATAAAAAGAAATATGTTGTTAGATCCTATTGAATAGTTCACTTTTCTTCCTCCTGCGACCTTCTCATATCTGTGACACCAACAACAAAGAAAGCCCATTCATCTTTAAGAAAAAAAACCATTCCTCTTGCCCAGAGGTTAGTTTTACACCCATGCTGTTTCCTAAAAAAAAGACACTTGGAATACGAAAGATGGAAGAGACCGCGATCACTTACTTGCAGTCAGATGGGCATCATGGGTAAATAAAAAGATGGGGTCTGTTTAGTGATAGTAGTAATCGAACAACCTATTGTGCAGCATATTATAACGTCAAGTACTTTTCCTTAAAAATTTATCATGTAATGTTTCACCCCTCCCATAAAACTCACTTTTTTGTGAAGAACTGTTCATTTATATCAAACTTAAACTTGTGTAGTATTTACGATTTGATCTCTTAACGAAATGGCAAAGAGAACGAAATTGAGCTTATCTTTTAAAGCCGATGTCAAAAAGAGATTTTAAGAAATTCCATCAACAACTAAAAAAGCTATAGCGGATCACTATAAAATTCCTGAATCAACTTTAAAAGGGATTTTTGAAAAATGGATGCAATTGTTGCTGCTCAACGGGAATGCGGAATTAAATCCTTGATGAAAAGCCGTATTCAAGGTGGAAAGTTTCAAGAACTGGAAAGTGTTTTATTACAATGCTTTAAAGAATCTTGTGCTTCTAACATTCCGGTTAATATTGAATTACTTTGACAAAAAGCAGCTCATCTAGCAGAGATATTGAAAATTGAAAAATTTTCAGCTTCACATGAAGGGGTGGAGAAATTCTAGATCCGACATGGCTTAGAAACTCGTACCATATCTGGTGAAATTCCAAGCATGGATGAAGAGACTGTAGAGGAATGGAAAGAAGAATTAAAATCTTTAATTAAAAGATACAACCAAAAGAATTGTTGTGATGAAACTGGTTTGTTTTTCAGGATGATGCCTGAAAAATTGGCATTTAAGGTGGAACCCTGCCAAGGTGGAAGAAACAGTAAAGAAAGATTTGCCCATTTTATTATGTTGTAATGCAGATGGATCAGAAAAACGCTTCCCTTTTATAGTTGGCAAGCCAAGAAGGTCTCGCTGTTTAAAAAAAAAAGTAAAACGGGAGTACTACCCTGTGAGTTCTCAAGCAATAGAGCAGCATGGATGACTTCAAAATGGGTGCCTTTTTTTACCCCTTCTTCATTCATTTGAGAAAAAAATAGAAAAAGAAAAGTCCTCCTTTTTATGGATCAATGTCCAGCCCATCCACAGGACTTGCCAACTTTTGAATATATCAAAGTAATGTTTTTTCCTGCACACTGCCTTCGGATGTAGGCATTATCCTTTCCTTAAAACTGCATTACAGAAAAAAAATTGATTCGTCGATATCTTGCAGAACTGGAAAAAGGCAAATCAGAAGCAGCCGACTTAAAGATTTCAATTCTTGATGCTATGAATATGGCATGCGCTGCATGGAGAAGAAATGGACAATCCAGCAAAAGGAATTCAAAAAAGCTGGATCTCCATTTTCAGATGAAAATTAATTTATGGACCAAATTAACGAAGTTAAAGAAGATTGGGATATCGATCTTAGTGATAACGAATGGAAAGTTGTATCGAATGGACTTGTTTCCTCTAATGAATTTATTGTCTTTGATAATAATCTACTAACAACGGAATTAAGAGACATTGATGACATTGCAAATGAAATGGACGAGGAAAACGTGGAAGATGATACTGACGAGGACGATAAAGTTCCTCCAAATCACTCAGCAGTATTAGAAGCTTTAGACACTATTCGTAAAGATTTACTATTTAACTCTGCTTCTGAAACTCCCTTATCCCATTTATATAAACTGGAAAAAAAACTGTTTTTGAAATACGTCGGGGGAAAAAATACAAGAATGTATGAAGGATTATGATGCAATAAAATAAATAGTCTTTAAGTATGTTAAATTTTTTCTTTGTGTTATGTGGGGGCGGAGTTAATCGACCATGCCAACCTTCATCTATCAAAAGGTACCTCGTGATTGAATCAAGTTAGCATGCCTTATATACTACTGAATGATGTTTAACTTTTGTAGTGGTAGTTACGCCACAGTACTCCCCCACCAGAATTTTATCTGGGATATAATTCGATGAACAGATCTCACTAGTTGATGTACTTGTGAAAGACCGGGAGAGAGTCACCGGATTTTTTGAGTGCTGAATGTGAGAGGTGTATTAACATCACAGTCGAAGTCGCTCCTGTGTTGCCAGTACCAGTCGAGAGTATGCAGGCGTTGAGAGTGTAGGCGATGTGTGAATGTTCGAGACGAGACTGAGAAGCAACAGCGCAGGAGGTGAATGATGCATTCACAAATAACAAGTCAACCGTACAATGTGGACTATCCATCGAAGTAGGCGTAACCGTTAAGAGATTGCGAAGTGGGCGTTACTTGCGTGAGCAAATCACGTTCGAAGGTCACCAATGTGGGGG